CGTTTCCTGAGTGTTTTCATCGTGAAAGTGTTTCGTATTTTGTCAAATGCGTGCTTCTGCATATTGTAGAAGAAACATGTTGGGTTTTGTCCTTAACTACGTTAATACATGGAACGCTGCACGAATGCGATGGAGCGGGCCCTGACATTCATTTGTCACAACCAATACTTGCATCCCTGGGATTAAGCTCCAGCTTTCCTCCTGCGTACTACCATTCCCTCGTAGTGGGACTGTGGGACAGCAATTAACACCTGGCTGAAATAACCTCGCTCAGTAAGACTGACTGTATTCAATGGGAAGAAATTTCCTCCACATTAGTGCATCTCCCAGGAAAGGAATGCTGGCAACACATTCACAGTTTTTGTTTATTCTGGAATGTCTGAAGGATGGCTTTGCCTAACGTGGGATTCTTATGTGACAGTATTTTTTTTCTTTTCAGGACTTTGACTGTATTATCCCACTGCCTTTTGGCTTCTTTGGCTTTTGACGGGAAACCAGATGTGAAGGCAACCGGAATGTGGCAGACGACTCATCTCTTGCTCATTTCAAGATTCCGTGTCTTTGGCTTTGGGCAGGTGAACTGCCATGTGTTCAAGGCTGGGTCTCCTTGACCTTGCCCTACGTGGAGTTTGTTTAGCTTCCTGGTGTGTAGATTAATGTGTGTTTTTTTTAAAAAATCAAATTTGGAAAGATTCTGGCCATTATTTATTCAGATATCTTTCCTTACCCCTTGTCTCTGTTGTCTCTTTCTGGGACTTCCGAGGCAGGTGTGTCGTGTCTCTTCACCACACATCACAGGTCCCTGAGGCTCTGCTGTTTTTCTTTATTCATTACTTCTGTGTTCCTCAGACTAGGCAATTTCAGTCTGCCCATCTTCAGTTCTTTCTCCTGTGGGTTCACATATGCTGTTGGAACTCATCAGTAAATTTATCCCTTTGATTACTGCATTTTTCTACTCCAGAATTTCTATTTGGCTCTTTTAAATAATTTCTCTTTCGTGGTATTATCTATTCAGCGGAACATTGTTTTCATACTTTCCTTTATTTTTTTAAGCACGGTCCCCTTTAGATCTGTGAATGTTTTCGTAAGAACCTATTTCTTTTGTCTGGTAATTCCCATCTGGGCTTCCTCGGGTAAAGATTTTATTGAACAGTTTTTCCTTTGTGTATTACCCCAGACTTTCCTGCTTCTTTGCAGGTCCTTTGTAATATTTTTCTTGAACATTTAACATTTGAAATAATTAATGTGACAACTCTGGAAGTTAGATTTCACCTCGTACCAGAGTTTATCTTTGTTGTCGTTTGTGTGTTTAGCAGCTTCCTCGGACTAACCGTGTTCCGTCTGTATTCTTTGTTGTGTGTAGCAGTGGAGTGTCTGGTTGGTGGGCTTCATGGTCACCTGATGACTTGACAGGGGTTTCCTTAAGTGACTGGAAGCACTAGGTCTCTCAGCCTCTGCCACGGGGCTTCACGCGTGTGTTGAGCGCAGGCCTCCAATGCTCCTTCGGGAAGTCGGCCGCTCTTGCCTTAGCCTTCACTTCCTGCGAGCAACACGGAGTTGCAAGATTAGCCGTAGGTAAGAGGGTCAGACCTTGTTAGGTCTTTCCGGGGCATGCACACACCCCTGCACATGCATGTGGCCGCCTAGATTCCCAGGAACATGTCAGAGCTTTTCAAGGTCCCCTATGGTCTCATTCCCTACTTTTTTTTTTTTTTTTTTTTGAGACAGAGTCTCACTTTGTTGCCCAGCTTAGAGTGAGTGCCGTGGCGCGTCAGCCTGGCTCACAGCAACCTCAACTCCTGGTTCAAGCAATCTGCTGCCTCAGCCTCCCGAGTAGCTGGACTACAGCATGCCCACCATGCCCCGGCTAATTTTTGTTTCTATATATATTTATTGCCAATTAATTTCTTTCTTTATTAGTAGAGACGGGTCTCGCTCTTGCTCAGGCATTTTGAACTCCTGATCATGAGCATGCGCCCGCCTCGCCTCCCAGAGTGCTTGGATTACAGGCGTGAGCCACCGCGCCCGGCCCCTTACTTTTTATTTCAATGTCTGGCGCCGTGTCTTATTAGTCTCAGGCAGCTGCCGGGAAACAACTGCTGGAGGATAGCGCTGCTTACGCAGACAGGGTCGCAGCCAGCTCAAATAAACCAGTGGGGAATGGACTTTTCCAAGGAGCTGCAGAAAGATGAAATATTAACAGTTCTTTAGCATGGACCCTCGTAGGAGCTCTAAACCGGTTCTTCCCCTCCAATAGCTAGCTACTAAGCTGCTGTTGTTCACAGCTACCATGATTGCAAGGCTGTTGATTTTTAAGCCTACTATACACTGTTGCAAACCTCCAGTAATTACCAGAGTTTTAAAATTTTTAAGCTAATTTTTAAGCTTTTTTTTTTTTTTTTGGCAAGTGTTTTCATTGTGCTTTTGCAGAGTAGATTTTTGAAGGTCCTTAGCCTGCTGCTCTGGAAGTGCTTCTTTCCCTGTTTGCTTTTGCAGTTTGTTTTTATTAATGTCTTTTGGGGGTTTGATGAATGTGTGATTTTATTTTTTTATCTTACTTGGTGTTCATTGAACTCCTTGGATCCGTAGGTTTATAGTCTGTGAAATCTGTAATAATTTGGCCATTATTTGTTTAAATAATTTTTCTATGCCTTCTCTTTTGGGGCTCCAGTGACAAGTATGTTAGACGGCTTGCTATTGTCCCAAGTCACTGATACTCTGTTCATTCTGTTCACTCTTTATTTTTCTTTGTACTTCAGTGTGTACAGTTTCTATTGCTGTGTCTTTATCAATCTTTTCTTCTTCTTCCTGCCTCTCTTCACACTTGTCTAATCTGATTTTAGTCCTGTCTGGTGAGTTTTCTACTTTTCCCATCTTGGGGTTTCTTTTGATTTCTACATCTTCTGATTCTCTCCTCATTATGTTCATATTTTCCTTTAAATCCTTCAACATATAATAACAGCTGTTGTAAAATACATGACTGCTAATTCCAACATCTCCATCATTGCTGGATCTATTTCTAATGAATGACTTTTATTTTAACTATGACAATGTTCTGCTTCTTGTACTGACTAGTCATTTTGAATTGGCTGCTGGGCTGCATACATTTTACACGGTCAAGTGCTGGATGATGTACTAGGTTTCAAAAAGAATGTTAGACTTTGTTCTGGCAGGCTGTTAAGACCTTGAAGGCAAACCTTCAAGGCTTGTTTTTGAAATTTAGGGGAAGGATATGGATTAGCCTTTACTCTAAGGCTAATTTATTCTTAGAACTAGGGCATAGCCCTTCTGCCTTTTCTACTGAAGAACTTGGGTGTTCAACGGGGACTCTTCACTTCAGCTAGTTCAGGGGTCCTCAAACTTTTTAAACAGGGGGCCAGTTCACTGTCCCTCAGCCCGTTGGAGGGCTGGACTATAGTTTTAAAAAAAAACTATGAACAAATTCCTATGCACACTGCACATATCTTGTTTTGAAGTAAAAAAACAAATGGGCAAAAACACCCGCATATGGCCAGAGGGCCGTAGTTTGAGGATGCCTGAGCTAGTTGGAATGCAAAATTTCCCGGTTTTATGTAAGCTTAACGTTGCCCGTATTTTTTCCTGTGCAACCTTGCGGAGTTTCGCTGTGTGCATTTGAGGCTGGGTTTTTAGCCGAGGACTCAAGGTGGATGCCTACGCAGATTTTGGGGACCCTTGCTTGCGAGAGCATCTTTGGCGCCATGGCCGTGCGTTCTAACTGTCTCGGCCTCCCCAGTTTCCGCGCGCTCTGCCCAGGCGAACTGCACTGCTGTGTTCCTCTTTCGTTTCCCTCCTTACCCAGCGGGTGGGAAGCCGGGACGCCGTGGGCATCGACTTGCTGGTCTCCCTTCTCACCGTCACGCTGCTGCCCCCAGTATCTGCAAACAGCGGCTTCTTCTATTTTGTCTAGTTTCCGGTGTGTTCAGTTGGAAGGGCGAGCCTGACCCTGGGTGCTCCATCATCCATCCTTTTTCTCTTGGCCTGTCTGTGATCTCCCTAAAACACAGACCTGGCCGAGCTGTTTCCCTTCTGCATGTCTTTTGGGACGTCAGTGTCTATGGCGGGACGTGAGGACCAGACCCCTTTCCTGTGCTGTCCCCGGACCAAGTGCCTCCCTCTGCCGTTGCACACGCCCTCCCCAGGGGTAACCGCTGACTTCGCCGTCTACTCCCCTGTAACCGACCGGAGCATCCTGAGGGCAATCACGGCTAAGTCTCTCCAGGATCTTGGCCTCGTTCTTGCCTTTCAGAGGATGCCCCATGCTTACCTTGTCCATGAATTGCTACACCGATTCACAAAGGAATACACCAACGGCCGTCTTAGGTAAGTAACGCTCATTGGACGTGCATATGTGGTAGGGACTGTTCAAAGTTCTTTTCCGTGTATTATCTCATTTAACCCCGAAAACATCCAAACGAGGTAGATGCTATTACTTTTCGGAAAGACCAGTCACTGGCGCACGTTTCCCGTGGTAAGCGGTGACTGTTAAGGTTCTATTTTCGGCGGCCTCCCGCCGGAATCTGTGCTCACGACATTGCACACCACGGCTTGTTCCCCGGCATGGCCTCGATTATCCCTCCCCAAACTCATAACCATGTAACAAAATCCCATCGCTGTAATTTTCCGTTAGTTCTTCCAGTGTCAGAGAACAAGTCTCCCCCGAGAAGACCCACAGGGAGCGCAGAGAAAGCCACCAGAGTCCCCAGGAGCACAAGTAGGCAGTTTACCCATTTAATTTTTCCAGGGTGAGAGCTGTCCTGGTGATTCATTCTGTGCCCTCATTAGAGCAATTATCCAGCTAATAGCTTTGATTTGAGTTTGGCCGAGGCAGTTACTGGCAGCTGGAGAGCACCAGAGAACAAACAGATGGGCCGAGAGGAGAATTCGGAAGGAGGCCTGGGGTTTGGTCTGACAGTCCGGGCAGGGAGGCCAGTCTCTGCACCGTTGGTGGGTCTCCGGTGGGGCCCGCGGGACCTGCTCTTCCAGAACGCCCGTCCTTCCCTTTCTACTGGTGTCAGCAGGTAAGGGTGATTGTGAGGTGCAGGAGTGTCACCCCGAAAACCTGGAAAGAGTGGAACTGAGGCTGTCATCTGAGAGCCCATCTACCCAACCAGCACATCTCGGGTTGTTGTGGCAGAGAAGACATGCAGAGTCACCTAAGTGGCGGAATTGTTCCCAGGCCAGGGAGTCTTGACTGTCACCAACCCTGTTGTTAAAGTGGCTAAAAGTAGGCAGTTTCAGGCAGAAGGGGGATGGATGGAGGCTGGTTAATGTCCCAGCTGCATAGCTGGGCTCTGTCCCTCTCACTCCGGCACCGGAGTTGCCCCCAAGAACACTTCCCAGTAACGGTCCCACAGGTGATCGTGGCCCTGAACCCCCAGCCTGTAATAGGAGTGGACATGCCTGGGCTGGCTAAACCCTCATTTTGCTCCCTGGCCTTTGGGATAAGAGCTGTTATAGTGAGGAAGGCAAGTGGAAGTCTCCGGAATGCCGGCCTCCCTGCCAGGACGATGCATCAAAGACAGTCTCATTCCCCGGTGGATATGGCAGCCGCCCTTACAAACCTAAAGGATACAGGGGTCCCCAAGCCCCAGGGATCCTGGAGGGGAGCGTGGACGGCCGCCAGCTTGACCAAGCAGGGGACCCCGTGGCGGCTGCGGTGCTGGGTTTGGTGTCTTCGCTGGGGCAGGTGGCGCAGTCCCGGGTGAACGGGGCGCCGCGCCGATCTGCTGAGTGTGGCATCTTTATCCCCATCAGGAAGAAGGATGAGGAGCAGTTTGCAGTCACGGGAGTGGACCACGGTGCACATTTTTGGTCTCGTCTCAGGTCTGTTCTGTCTCCTGCCCCGGCACGATGTAGCCCAGAGGGACCTGGACCGTCTGCATTTTCTGCAAAACATCACATTGGCCAACGTGCCGATGGCATCATGCCAGGTGGCGGCGAATGAACAATTAGGAGCAAATGCGTCTGCGGCCTCGGTAAGACGCACCGCTCTAGAAGGTGGGAGGGAAACGCTACGAAGTCCTGGGGTCTGCCCAGCAGTGATGCCCGGGGCTCTGGAGGCCCGAGTCGAGCCAAGATAGGCTCTGCAGGGTAAAAGCACGTGTTGGCGTCTCACATCTCACACCAGTAGGAGAAAGACGGTGCTGGGTGGCCTCTTGGGTTACAGAGGCAGCGTGTTCTCCGGCTGGGAGCACTGTTGGCGAGGGAGGCAGGAGGCTGCCGGCTTTGAACGGGGCCTGGGTGGGAAAGGGCCCTGTGGCAGGTGCAGCCTGGGCGCCAGCCCACCAGACCCAGCAAGCCCTGTGGGACAGGAGCGGGATCCGCAGCAGAAAATATGCCAGGGGGAGTTTGTGGCAAACCCCGGGAGAAGAGTCCCCAGGGGTCCAGACCATCTGCAGCAGGAAAGCTCTGCCCGCCGGGAGTCTGTTTGTTTTGTTCACTGCAGGATCCCTGGTGGCTCCAACGGTGTCACGGGCAGAGGACGCCCTCGGCGACGGTCTGCTCTGGGGGTTTGTGGACCGAGTGGATGGAAAGTCCCCAGCAAAGCCCACGGCCCCGGCGCTCCGGCCTCTGTGTCTCCCATCCGGTGTCTTGCCGCCCTCCCCGGCCCTCCCCTCAGTGTGCAAGTTCCCCATTGCCTCCTGCCCTTTGGGGTCCCCCTGCCTGGGGCACATCCTTGGGGACGCCACACGGCCTGGCTTTGCTCAGGGCGCCGCACATGCCGGCTGACACTGCTGTCACTACTCACCCACCCCGTGACAGCACGGCCACCCTGCTGGAAAACAAGTTCCACGAGGACAATTTGCCGTGTGCGCTGCGACTTCCCCAGGTCCTAGCACAGTGCCTGGCACACGGTCAGCTCTCGACAAATATTTGTCGAGTAAAGGAAGTAGGTTTAAGGGCGTGACGAAGTTACAGTGGCCTCTTGCCTGTGCTCAGAGCCTTGGGTGCAAAACGCAGTGACCGGGGATTTCTAGGAGGGAGACGCAGCACAAAGACCCCCCACACCCCAAACTCATTTTACTGCAGAACCATCTTTGACATCCCTTGGGCGTTATACTGTGGGCCACGTTTTGGAAAATGCTGCACTGCGGTAGCTTCAGCCTGCGGGAGGGGCCCTCCCGGGAGAGAGCCAGGCTGTCCTCTTGTGGTCGTGTCCCTTGGCACCCACTGTCTGCTGCTCGAGTCTTCTCCACCTGCTCTTCCAACAGAGACTCCCATCCGGCCCCGTCTCGGGTCCCGAGCACCCCGGGATGTTTCCCCGGCTTCTCCTCCTCCCTGTGACGTGGGCGTCCTTACCGGTCAGCCGTGTACTGACTTCGGTGCTGAGAAGGAAGGTGAGCACAGGAGCCCCATCGGCGCCTTTGCGTTGCCATTCTACCCATTATTGCTGCGTGGCACACAGGTGTGCATACCTCGGTGCTTAGATGCCAGGTTCCTCGGGCACAAGAACCAGGTGTCGCTTTATTGCAGGTCTGAGCGAATGATTGTGGGTGAACTATGGGAACGATGGGAACTATGATCCTAGGGACAGCCAAAATGGCTAAAACCTCTATTCTTTTAGAATTTTTTTCTTTTAGAGATAGAGTCTTGCTGTGCTGTCCAGGCTGAAGTGCAGTGGCTAGTCGCAGCCATGATCCTAGGGTGCTACAGCCTTGAACTCCTGTGCTCAAGAGATCCTCTCGCCTCAGACTCCAGAGGAGCTGGGACTACAGGTGTGCACTGTTGTGCCCAGCTTTTTTTTATTTTTATTTTTTTTTTTAGGAATTTTCATAAGCTCTTGAGGCCTCAGGGAGAGGGATCCCATAGTTAGGACTGAGGCTTGCTCATCAGGGCTTCTGGCCAAGAGAGTGGGCAGAGTGAGCCACCTGGGACTGGGGCTGCTATTGGAAGGGATTTCCTGGGGGGAGGGCAGCATAGGAACAGTCCTAGACAGGGGACCAAGGCAAGCACAAATGTTTGACACTGCATCCGGTGGGCTCCTAGGCTCAGAAGTTGGAGGGGAAGCCAGGGGTTCCGGGAGAGGGTTCAGAAGGTTGGGCATCGCAGAGCAGGTGCCGGGAGGCTCAGGGCTGCAGACGCCACCGCAGAGCTCGCCCCTCCCCATAGCCGGGCCAGCACGCGGACCGGGGCTAAGCAGGTCTTTAGGGGAAGCGTGTAAACAAACTGATTTCTTGTTGGCAATTGCAGCTTGTCAGCGCGGAGCTCAGACCGGAGTTGGGAGATGGCATTCGATAAGGCTCACAGTGACCTTCCCGAGCTTGCTTTCGGCAGGGGAAAATGCGCGGCCCGTGGCGGCCGGGGGATGCCTGTGATTCCTATCATAGATTGCGTGGCCGGAGCTGTGCTGTTGGGAGGGGCCGCCGGGGCCGTTCCTGTGGCTGGAAATGGATTGGTTGGCGATCGGCCTTCCTGGTTAAATCCCAGCACCGTCGTCGCCCAGGACTGACTTTATTTTCTGGCCCCAACACTTACAAGCTGTGCAGACTTGGACAAGGGATTTCATGTTTTAAGGGTCTGTTTTCTCCTATAATCGATACAGGATGAAATGATGCGGGGATTACAGTGTGTGTCGTACTAATATTATTATATAATATACTATTATATATATTATATTGTCACCATCATCATCATGACAGGTCATGTCTGTTGAACTCCTACAATGAACATTGTCTGAGCAAGTAAAATGGGCTTTAAAAAGGGATGTATAGAAAAAAACGGGGCCGGCGTGGAGGACAAAGGCTCTTTTTTATAAAGGCAGGATTGCCAGAAAGGGAACCGGGCTCGGAAAGAGCTGGCAGCCGGTTAAAACGATCAGCTGAACTCTTGTGCTAGGAACGTAGGAGCACGCTCTGTTGATCAGAAACAAATAGAAGAGCCACTTGAGTTCCAGCCGTTCCTTCTGAGACGCTTCTCCTGACCCCGAAGCGTACGCTGTAGACACTCCTCCACCGGGGGGCTTCCGTGGCCGGGCTCCCCGCCCGTTTGTTTACCAGCGTCTCCGTTCACGGCGTCCTTCTGCACGGACGCTGTTTTCTCTCCACGACCCGGCGTCGTCTTCCTCTGTCTCTTGGCTTCCGCCCTTGCCATTGAAAGTCTGTCGTTCCTTTTAAGACAAGTTGTCTTTTCTCTCCGGCTGCTTTTAAGATCTCTGTCTTGGACGTTTTGCAGCTTTGACGGAATTAAATCTATCGAATTCTCTTCCCCACATTGATTTGCAGCTAAACATTCCATTTGTCTCCCCAGCAAATGTCTGCAGTGGTATCTGGGTCCCTGTTCAGGGAGGGGACGGATCCAGCGGAAAACAAAACGGAGATTCCCAGCCCCGTGGTGCCAACGTCCTGGCGGAGGACACAAGCAGTGGACGTCGTGAGTAAGTCAGTGATGCAGCCGAAGAAAGTAATTCAAAGAGTGAAGGCTGCAGAGCACAGCAGGGAGGAGGTCACACAGGGACGGTTGATGACGGCGGGACACAGGGAAATTGTCCTTGAGACTGTGACATTTGAGCGAGGATGAACTTCACTGTGCTTAACCCCAGCACCTGACTCACAAAGTCCGACGTCGACACAACCCCTGCTCCCCGCTGCTCGCCGCAGGGCACGCAGCGCCGCATCTCTGGCCGACCCTTCTTGCCCCACGGGGTCCCATTGCCCGGGACCTTTGCATGACCTGGTTTCCATAAACCCCCAAGATCCTCGCTACTGGGGTCTCCAAGGGGACTCCGAACGTATAGCATGCTTCTTTCCCACTCAGGCTCTGAAGAATTTCTGACACAAAATCAACATAAGGATTGAGGTCAAAATATCCCCTTCGTCCCTGTGGCGGCTCACCCAGAGGGCGCGGCTTAGAGGTGGAGTACAGTGGGCGCCAGCGCGTCCCCAAGTCCCAGAAACAGGCCGCGTGTCTCTCCCGCCAAGACTCTCTTCCCGTTCCCATGACCCATTCACTGACTTTAAATTTCAATGACTATATTTGGCTCGCTTGTTATTTTTACATAATGCTGTACATCTCACCTATATTTTACGCACCTTCTCATATGTTTTTGTTACTGTCGTCACACCCCTTTTCCCAAGGTTGTCTCTCTAAATACCTGCAGTCTCTGCACAAAGCCTCCACCAGGGAGACTGCCTTGGTTTAATCCTCCAAAAGAGCACTGTTCCCCAGTGGCCCCCCACCCTCCGTCCTGCCTTAGTTTCTCCTTAGCATCTGATCCACGGGGCACACTGCACAGACAGCATGTAAACCATAGACGGCTGCTGCCCCGCACAGGAGCAAATGCTGTGTGAGAGCAGGGACTTGCTTTCATTCACCGTGGCAGCTCCAGAATTGGACAGCTGTCTAATGAGCCACCTGAGTGAGTGCATTTAAAACACCCTTATTTTATAATCTCCGTATGACAGGTCTACCCGTGGGGTCTTGTGGGTCTACGCTCACTTTGCCTTTGGACCGTCACTCATGGTGTCTCGTTTCCTTGTGCGTTTTGTGGCCGTGGTTCTGGAGCTCCTCTTTTTGACGGACTCCCCCTAAGGGAAGCGGGCTGGAGCACGGCTCTGGAGCCGGAACGCGGAGTTTAAACTGGGCTCTGCCACCCATCAGCTGTGTGACTCTGGGCAGATTATTTACCCTCTTCCGTGGCCCAGTTGGCTCATGTCTTATGAGTTGACTCATGAAACAGTGAGAATGATGGTGGCTGCTGCGCGTGGCTGCCATGCGAGAGTCACTGCATCTGCGGAACGTTCTTAGAGTGACGCTGGGGATGGAGTGTGCACTGTCACCTTCTATCGGTGCTGTCACTTCTCGGTGGGAATCTCGTGTGGCTCTGGGAGAGGGGGCGTCCCACAGTGCAGTTGAGCCTCTGCTTCCTTTTGGTGTCCATCTCGTGTGCTGCTTTCTCCGCTCAGACACTGCGGGAGCAGGAGCTATGTCAGGCCTCACCTGCACGGCATCGCGGGGGGTTGTGGTGAGGAATTCTGCAGAGACGCCCTTCCTCCCTGGCTCGGTCAGGGCTGTCACACGAGCTTCTTGTCACCTGCATTGGAGAGCTGGCTCTTGTTTAGCCTCCCTTCTGCTGAGACCCTCACAAGGAGCTCTGACTTCCAAGTCCTACCTTGTGTGGATCCGTGACCTCCTCTCCTGTCTCTGTGTGTTGGTTACAGAGATCAAGATGTGCTCCGGCATGCACGCGCGCACATGTGTACATGCACACGGGTACACACAGACACATGCACCGAGATACACACAGGAAAATGCATGGATACACACATGCACACAGTCACATGTGCACACGCGGACACACGTATATACATACACAGAGCTTAGAGCTCTGGTTGTCAGTGTCTCATTTGTTTTTAGCACTCAGTGTTTCCTTTCACTCTCTGGAGAGCTCAGCTGCATGTGCAGAAGTGTGTTTGCGTGTTCTGTTCATGTCCCCAGGGATCCACAGCAGGAGGGTTTCAGGTTATTGAGTCTGTCATGTCCCCAGAGGTGGAGGTTTGGGTGATTTTTAAAAACAACCTACACACTGTTCCACACCTTGCTTGTCACACTGCATGTGAGGTCTCAGAGGTATTGTCACACGCATGCGTACAAACCCACTTCCTTATTCTTTAGTGCTGCGTAGCATTCCCACGTCTTAGTTCATTTACTATTTCCCTATTGATGCACTTTGAGATTTTCCCCCAATTTTTCAATATTAAAAACAGTGATGCAATAACAACATTGTACCTGTCCCCTGTACATTTTGAGTTTCTCTCTGGGAAGAACAGAGAGAGAGTCACTGGGTGAAAGGGGTGTCCACATTGAATTGGAAAAGTATTGGCCAAGCTTGGTCCAAACGACAGTATCAGTTTCACTCTCATAGATGAGTATGTGCGAATTCCTTTCACTCCAACCCCCAAAGACTCCTGTTCGTCCTTTCTGTTGTGTGTGGTAACACCTCTGCAGAGAGAAAAGCAGGTAAGGCACAGGGGGAGGCAGGCGTCCTATTCCGGAAAAGGCTGTAAGAACCCGAGGGAGCAAGGATATATACCATGTGGATATCCTGGGAGAGGCATTTCAGGGAAGGAAATGGCAGACACAAAGGCCCTGGGGCAGGAGTGGGCCTGGGCAGTGCATCGGGGACAGAGAGAGTGAGGGAAGGATGAGGGGGCATGGTGGGAGCAGGTGGGGCGGGCCAGGGGGCAGGAGTGGGCCTGGGCAGTGCAGCGGGGGCAGGGAGAGTGAGGGAAGGATGAGGGGACGTGGTGGGAGCAGGTGGGGCGGGCTGTGGGGCTGTGCAGATGCTGTGGGTGACTCTGAGGGAGATGAGAAGCCATGAGAAGCCTTGGAGCCAACATGGGCAGCAGCGGCTTCTGTCTTAGGAGGTCATCCCGGCCGTTGTGCTGGGGATGGACTCTTAGGGGATGTGGGCGGAAGTGAGGAAACCGGTGAGGAGGCTCCCATGGAAACCAGGAGCATATGATGACGTCCCAGACCAGGAGGGCTGAGTGGAAATGATGAGAAGTGATTGAACTAGGGATCTGTTTTTGAGGTGGGGCCAACAGGATTTGCTGAGATATTGCAGTGTGTGTGTGTGTGTGTGTGTGTGTGTGTGTGTTAGATAGATAAATGGATGGATGGGTGGGTGGATGGATGGATGGATGGATGGATGGATGGGTGGATGATGGATAGATGGATAGCTACCGTGTTTCCCCCAAAATAAGACCTACCCATAAAATAAGCCCAGGCAGGATTTCTAAGCATTTGCGCAATAGAAACCCTACCCCGAAAATAAGACCTAGTGATGGGCGTGGCTACGCAGCACATCCGCACAACCCATGCATTTGGTCGTGGAGCAGTAAAGAAGATGAGCAGCCCTTCTCATCTGCCCCATCGTGACAGCTGCTATCCCAGAGGTGACAGGAAAGGTGCAGACAGCCCCACCAACAAGGCCGCCCCCCCCGGCAAGGCCCCGCCAACCCGGGCCGGCCGCAAACCGAAGCCTCCAAGGGAAAAAAAAAAAGCCCCCGAAAAAAAACCCCAAGGGGGCCTCCTGAAGAAAAAAAAAAAAAAAAACCCGGAATAATTTTCGGAAAAAAAAATAACCAAGGACAAAAAAGGAAGGCCAAAAAAAAAAAAAAAAGCAAAAAAGGAAGCAATGGGAAAAAAAAAGAGAAAAAAGGGGAAAAGAAAAGGGGAATAAAAAAAGGAAGGAAAAAAAAACAAGAAAACAAAAAAAAACTTCAAAAAAAAAAGGAAGCAAAAGAAAGCAAGAACAAAAAAGGGGGGGGGCCGGTTGCCGAAAAGGGGAAAAAAAGGAAAAAAGGGGGGGGGGGGTGCTAAGCCGCCCCGGGCCAAAAACAAAAGCCAAAAAACGGGGGGGGGGGTCAGTTATGGGAATTTGTTTCTCATGGTTCTGGAGACTCGAGGTCTAAGGTGTTGGCAGATCTTGCTCAAGGTGAGGGCTCTCCCCCCGGCTTGCAGACGGCTGCCTTCCTGCCATGTCCTCGCCCGGCCTTTTCCCATGTGAGTTGGGGGAGAGAGTGGCGTTTCCTCCTCTTCTCACGAGGACACCAACCCTATCACAACGGGGCCTCATCCTTCTGATTCATGCCACCTCAACCCCCTCTCCAAAGGCTCCACCTCCAGATACAGCCATGTCTCGGTTTAGAGCTTCAACACGTGAATTTTGGGGAGACGTGACTCAGTCCGTGATAAGAGGAAGTCAAATGTATTTCCTCTGTGGCAACGTTCAGTGTGAGATGCCGATTAGACCACCGAGCAAACGTCCTGCGGGGAGCTGGATTTATGGGTCTGGAGTTCGGGGGCAGAGACATGCCAGTGACGTGAACTTGGCATGGAAAGTCTGAAATGGATGTTAAAAGCCACGGGAAAACCTAGGGAACGGACTGGGAAAGACAGAAGAGGGGCCTGAGCCCCGGGGCGCAGGAGTATCCAGAGGCAGACTTGTCTGCAGAGGGGACAGTCGCCGCGGAGTTGTCTCAATGTAGAATCAAGGGACCCCCATTCTCCTTGCTGCCCTGGGGAGCCCCCCGCTGAGCTGGAGAGCTCGGCTGAGCCTTTCCTGCCACGGCTGTGCATGTCACCAAGGACTCCTCAGGGGCTGTGGCATTTCAGGTCAGGTGGCTTTATTTTCAGCTTCGGCAGGTGTCAGCCAGAACGTCCCCGAAGCGATCGTGCTGCTTTACGATTCCACTCTGAGCTGCTGTTCTTCAAAAGGAGTCGGTGTGGGAAGAGAGAAATGGGAGCGTTTGGAGCATTCGTCCCCCCTCGCCTGGGGCTGCGGGCAGGAGTGGGTAGCTCTGGAGGCCAGGTGGGAGCTGGGGCACACTGCGGGGCATGGACCACACCCATGGACAAACACGCCTCTGCTTAGGGGCCTGGCAGTTTGTTCTTTATTCCCCATGTCCGGACGAGGAGTTCTCAGCCTCAGCACCACCGACGCGGGACTCCGGATAGTCTTCCGTGCCGGGGGCTGTCCCGTGCCTCATGGGAGGTTACCGGCATGCCCGGCCTCCCCCCGCCAGATGCCAGGACCAGCAACCAAAATCGTCTGCAGACATTGACCAAGGGGCCCCGTGGGGCAAACTGGTGTCTCGTGGAACCACATTCTGGTGTAGACCAGCCGGCCTCCCAGAGGCGAGGACGTTGCAGATCTATTTACACAGAATGACAAGCCCGAGGACACGTGCTAGGGCTTGAAATGTGTGCTCCAAACTCACATTAAAATTTACTTG